AAGAAGTGTTAAACTAGAATTCAAGATCTGGAACAAAAACTCCTTGTGGCTCAAGAGGATTCATACCTCTGTATTTATCTCCTGAAAACACTTTGTTGTGTTATTCCTGAAAGGGATCAGTTGTCCATACTCTGCAAGCACTCACTACCTCACATGGCAATGGAAAGCAAGGGGTACAACAACACAGCTGAGCATATAATTACTCGGATTTTAACTCATTGCCATCAGCAGCGTCCCACCAGGAGCCAGGGATAGCGGCAAGATAGGACCTAGCGTCCCAACCACGCTGCTGTTCCCTTTGCTCATGCAAGCCCCTCAACACCTCTGGTCCCAGGTCCCATTTCAAATGGAGAAGCAAAGCCAAGTGCAATGGTTTAATGCTCCTAATCCTTCTGCATGAGAGCTGGACACAGGCCAGGCCCCAGAAAGATTCATTCTGTAGGATAGGAAGGGAAGAATTGCTCTCCCATCTGGAGCACAGTGGGTATTTATGCAGGAATATCACCTTTAATCTTTTCTTTCTCAAATGATTGTGATTATTATCTTAGTCTTCATAGGACGACTGCAAAGAATCCCATATATCCAAGATTCAAATACGGTTCTCCTCGCCCTGCGATTCCCATGGTGGTGGAATTTGGGTGTAGTTTACTGTATTAAGTCTATTCTACCAAACTCAGAACTCAAATTCTCAAAGCCTGCACAGTTATTCACAGTCACAGCTCTCTTCTACAATCAGAGCAGTCCACGGGATGGTCAGGATGAGAGAAAAAGCTGATCTTCATTTCTGCCAAATTGTCTTTAGCTCCACCTGAATGCTCCCATCCGTGTCTCAACACACAACTTGTCCTGCAGTGGTAAACAGTGGTTTAGATTAGAAAACTATTCTTCAGTTCCATACTTAATTACATAATTACTGCTTGTCAGCTCAGATCTAAGAAAAGTCAGAGACTGGCCAATTAAAAGGAATATTTTTTTGTTCTAACAAAAAATACTGTTGTATTTTATTCCGTCCTCCTTGAAAGCAAATGTTTTACTGCAAAGCTCTGACTGCAGTTATCTATCACATGGGAGTCCAATGGTAAGGAACAGCACTTACAGCATTAAAAATGCAATCTCTGTGTGTCAAACCCAAAAAGTATGCCTCCTGGCAGCCTCCATGGCCTCATTTTGGCTGCAGAAGGAATAAAATCAGAGCTTGCAGAGATATTCCAGTATCAGCTCCTGCTATAGCTCTTGTTATCCAGGGAGACTGCCAGGAAGAAACCTGGCATTTAAGTTTGCCTTAGCACTGTGAATATTCAGGTCTATCCAGAGCAGACCATACATCATGAGACCCTTTCACTCGTTTCTTTTTGTTGCACAGCACTTCCACGCACTGCATACACAAGCCATGACAACAGTGGAACCGTGCATCGCTGCAGACAGCAAGTGTGGCTCATACCCACCTCAGATAACTTCAGAACTGAGAAATGCTATGCAGCATCACACATGGTTCTCTTACCTTCCTTAAGGAGTAAAGGTATAAGTGTTATTTTGATCAACTTAGCTGCTGAAACAATCAGTCTGCTTAGTGTACTGGAGTTATGGATCAATCTATTTGAAGAAGCAGCATAGCAAGAGGATGCCAAATTTATAGAATCATAGAACAGGTTGAGCTGAAAGGACCTTTAATGGTTATCTGATGCAACTCACCTGCAATGAACAGGGACACCTACAGCTCGGTCAGGTGCTGAGAGCCTCATCCAGCCTGGTTACTGCCACCTGAGGAGGGAAAGCATGACAGACTCAAACTAAGGGAGCCCTTTGCAAGAAATGAGGCCCAAAGAAAGGAAACCCTCACCTCAGAGCCCAGAAATAGCTTCTCCAGAATGACAGAAACCCTACCAGCTGGGGGAAGAGAGAAACTTCTCCTCAGCCATCCCAAGCCAGCCCTTGGCTGCTGCCAGCCCCCAGGGTTTCCCTGGTGATCTCTTCCTGTGTTTAATTCTGAGCACAGCCAGCCAATGGGGGTGGGAAGGAATCACCAGTCATTTTGCAAAAGAAAGTGACTGAAATATTCAACGCTCCATTGATTGCTGCCTGTGGCATGCGGAGCGTTCCCCTTGTTGTCCCGCTGCAAAGCAGCAGCAATGGGGCTCTGCAGGGCCCCTTGCCCACCCCTACACCACTCCTGTCCTGGGCTACACCCTGCAGGAGGGTGGGAATCCGGCCCCAATGGCATTTCTCCCCCCAGATGGCAATCTTGATAACTACTGTTTATGTTCTATTTGCTGAAGCATGACTGCACCGGGACAGGTGGGGTGGAGACAAGGAATGGAGCTGCTAGGGGGGTGAAAAGTGTTTCTTATTTCAGATCAAATCACATCCTACAGTTTATCCCGATCTGGAAGGGAAAATGAGGCAGAACAGACAACTTGTATAGAGTGCTGTGGAAGGAGGAAGAAGGAATTTGCTGAAAAGCAGCAGGAGGCTCCAGCAGGCAGGAAGGAAAGCGCTGCAGCCTGGATACAGAAAGCTGCTCTTCTGAACTCAGGTCAGTGAAAAACCCAGGTTTAAATTGCTGAAGTTTCAAGGTTTTTGGGAGCACATCTGCGTCTGCATCCCGCCGTTTGCAGAGAGGTGCTTTTACCACTGCTATGTGCTTCTCAGGCTGCCTTTTGCTACGTTACATCCCCTCAAGCAAGAAATAGGGATGAAAGTTTTTGCGTGACATTTTTCTCAGCAGAATTCATCCTCTTATTGTGGAAAACTTTTTTACATGAGCAAAATCATAGAATCACAGAAGGCTTTGTGTTGGAGGGAACCTCACAGCCCCCCAACCCCAATCAAAGCCCTGGGCTGGTTGCCCCCCACCAGATCAGGCTGCCCAGGGCCCATTCAGCCTGGTGCAATACATTAATTTAGAATACCTTTCACTGAGCAGTTTCAAAGCCCAAAAGCGATTTCATTTGTGTGGGGTGAGATCTCTTTTAATCCAGCGGGTTTAAAGGGAAATTGCTGACTTGACAGATACAAGAAATCTGATGGAAACCTGGGACACCCCACACAGTGTGCTTTCATCTTTTGAGAGTTACGGGATCATGTTTGGAACAGAACAGCTATGGAATGGCACTGTTCTTATTCTTCAAGTTACAGTTGCTGTGTGGCCACATAAGTGACATCACCGAGAACATGTTGTACTGTCATTATGCTAAAAACCAAAGTATTACTGGAAAGAGCTGCCTGGCGAGATTTGAAGCAGTTGTTTGAGATTGCAATCAGATTTGGGTGCTTCTGAAAATCATTCATTTGAAATAATCCAGGACCGTCTCCCAGTAACTATGTTATTAAAGCTGTTCATCAGCAAAGGCATTTACTCTCCCATCTCCTATCTTTTGTACAGTTTGTGAAGTCAGAGACCCAAATTAGCATAACACACTTGCCAAGGGACGGGAGAAATGTATTCAGATTTAATCTAGTGATTCTGGCTCACTCATACTAACAGCTCCTTCACCAAGGCCATGGGGTTAACCATTAACCTCTTCTATCTACAAACAGAAAAATACCTTCAGTCACGAGGAAATGGTGCAGAAGGGAAGGTTACACCGGTTCCAAGCAGCAGGTTACAGCTGTGGGACAGTTAACAGCTGAGGGTTAGGGCACACATAAAAAGGGTGGCAGCAGGTTGGTCCTTCTTGCTGGTCCTGGCCCTGATCGCCGACTCTGCAGCAGGTAGGAGGCACTGCTGGGTGCAGCAAGGGGAGTCCTGGGGGAGGGTGTGGGGATGGACTTTCTTCTAGCAAAGCATTACAGAGCCAAAGGAGGGTGGCAGGAGGGCTCTGGCAGGAGTGCGAGGAAAGGAGGTGACAGGTAAAGGGACCTGAAAAGGAGCAGGAAAAGAGGGGTATGATGATAAATGAAGATCCAAACGTATTATTGGTAGTGTAAAATGTATGCAGGAGAAAGGAGTTGGAAGCAAATATTGTTCAGATAGAGGGACAGAAAGCAATAGTGCAGAAGAGTCCATCCTACCTGGCCCATAGTACTGAGGGGAATAAGAATGTTCCCCACAGATCTGTCCCTCCGCTCCAGCCTCAGGCAGGGAGGTGCTGGGATGGCCCCTGCTTAAATCACAGAACATACATCAGCCCTGAACCAGCTGGAACGAAGCCAGCATCTTGCTTTACATGCTCTTCTTAAATCATGTTTCTGCACCAGGGAGGGGCATGACTGCAGCCCCTGCACCCACTCCAATCCCAGCTGCATCATGTTGGTAATGCAGAAGCAACCACAGTTTTTTTCATGTAAGTTTGGGGTTTTTTTCTTCATTTCAAAATGAACCTGCTGACAAAGCTGAAAGCAAAGTGCCAGGCTGCTGTTAACAAACTGATGCTTCTGTCCTTTGGCTGAGCCCCACCAGCACATCACTCCTAAACAACTCATTTTTGATCCAAAACAACACCGGTGGTGGGATTCTATCAAGTGGCTCAGAAAGAAAAAATAATTCAAAAAGCAACAATAAGAGTGAGTTATAAACAGAGTCCCCCAGTCTATTAAACCAAGGCAAATTGACCAAAGTAAGAGTCACCAATAAATCTGCCATTGCACACTTCACCTGGTCACATTCAAGCAGGATGTCGTTGTTTCAGACCCCAGCTGAGAGAAGGACTGGAAGCTCCCACAGCACTGAGGACTTTCTCCTGCTTCTAATAAGAATTCCCATCTACCTCCCTGGTGTGATCCCAAATGAGGGCAAACAGAAAAGCAGAAGCCATCCCCGCCTTTAACATGATCGATACAACTGCATGTATTTAACAAACGCCATGTAGATTGCTTTATTTGACCCTCTCTTCACAAAATAATTTTATTATATGTATGAAAGCAGCTTACAGGCAATCAAGTTATGAAAACATTCACGATACATAAATACACAGACCTGATGCAGGATGTATATAGTTCATTAGACTTTGAGATTTTTCCTCTCAGTTCTCTTTTCCTGACAACATTTTTGTTTTGTTTTGTGTTTTGTTTTTTTTTTATATATATATATTATGAAAAGTTTCTCCAAAGGGTATCTGTGCCATTCAGAAAGCAGAGCTCTGTCCTGGAGTGCTGCTGAATGTTGACTCCCAGTGTTCCTGTTGCTAATGTTCACTGCTCACTTGGGGCATTACAGAGGGAAAGCAGCAGGGAAGGGCCACGGCAGTTTTTGAATTAAACACAGGCATCTTCGTTTTTGAGCTCACGGGGCATTTTTGAGGTGAGGGCTGCAGTTCCATCCATAGTTAGAAAAGTCTTAATTCAAATCAGTAATGAGGCACTATTCCTTATTTGAAGGGACTACTGATGTGGGAATTACTAAAAGGCAACATCCTCCTGGCCTCCAAAGTAAAGCACTGCATACCCTCTTGAACTCAGACTGAGAGCAGACAGACAGCATGATCCCAGTGGTGCTGCCAGAAATAATACAGATGACAACAAGGTTTGGCATGTTTACTACCATGAAACCAATTGTGTTTGTTTGGAAAAGATATCCAAGACTTGGAATAAGAAAAGTCTGAGAAAGCTGTTTATCTTACATTAATACGAAACGTTATGTACTATGAATTGTTACCTAAGTAGCTTTTCTTCTCAAATTGGATTCTCCTTAAGGTTGTAGCCGTACTTAAGGTCTGTACAGATCCACAAACTTGACATTCTAGCAAAGTCTCTGTAACATGAAACTTTTTTAAAAATAAATAGCAGCAATTTCTTGTTATTTGTAAAAGGGAAGAGAATTCACAACTCAGTCAACGCTGATCCTATCTTTTGAAAGAAATCCCACTTGAAAACCAAAGCCTGTGGAATGGAGCTCGTTTCCTTACATCAGTTCTGTTGATTCCTTGGTCTCTCGCTAAGCTTCTCAGCCTTCTTCCATCCCTCACAGCTCATCGGGGCTTTCACAAAGTGCTGACTGGTTGTCTGGCCACAATGCAGTAATGACACTCCAAAAATATCCCATCATTTAGACATCTTAAATAACATAAATAAAGCTAGATCTGTAATAACATATGAAAAATATCAATTTAAAACAATAAATAAATAAAACCAGTACCAACGTGTCAACTCCCAAAGCTTTAAAAATAACCATTCTCACTATAAGGCTCAATTATTTTTTCAGAAATAATTTTAAGAAGGCCTCTACCTCCCTTTACAATCCCTCAGCCTTTAATTAGGACCTGTTAACACCCACTATCACAAGACACAGCAATCCTTTATATTCTAGTAAACATGAATCTTTAAATACTTAACATTTATCTTCTGCCTCACTTCAAGCAAGAAATTGGCCTCTCTGGGTGCAGAGGAGAAGCAGTATTGTTTTATCACTGCACTGTATCCAAACCTGTGTATATTCCTCAGTATGAATAGCACGGTTTAACATTCATCTTTCTAACCAATTTTCAGTACTTTGTTGCTGTTTAGTGTTTTAAATATTAAATTTAATGCCAGGAAAATCCATTCAGGGCTTTATGTAGACGTGTACTTCTCCCTAGAGCTTAGTTTCATACAAAAAACCGTATCTTTTTTTTTGTTGTTAAAGATTATCACATTGTACACTATTATGTTTTGCTGGGTACACCTTCCTGTTCAGGTTTTATGCTGCCCATTTTGTGTAATGGGATTGATCTTTTCCAAAGAAACGTCAGCTTCATAATCCAAAATACCCGACAGTGCTGGAGACATTTTGTCCAAGGTCTTAGATAGTTCACCTTCTTCTTCCTTTTTTAGAGGTTCTTCTTCCGGACAGATGATTGCATGTGGGATCAGATAAACCAGATTCGACTCTTTGGGGCTGGAGCCTTTGGGCTCATGTTGGCTTGAAAAAACAACTGCTCCGTTGTTGTTAATGCTAACAGTCTCTATAGCATTGCCGGACGTGGGGCAGAGCCTGTAGCATCCTAGCAGGGTGGAAAATGCCTTGCGGAAATCAGCATTGAAGGCATAAATGATGGGGTTTAGGGAAGAATTAGCCCATCCAAACCAAATAAAAACATCAAAGGTGGTGGAGTTAATGCAGAAAGCTTCTGCTCCCTTGGACGGTTGGGTGGGCTCGCAGAAGGGAATCATGCAGTTCAACACGAAAAATGGCAACCAGCAGCACACAAACACCCCCATGATCACCGACAAAGTCTTTAGAACCTTTGTTTCCCTCTTGAAGGACATTTTGAAGTTGCTCTCAGGTTGCTGACAGTCCATGCTGCTTCTGTTGCCACTTGTGTTCTGGCAGTTCTTGGCATGCACTGCTGCTCTCTCCAAAGCTGAAATTCGTCGTATTTGCTTCTGAGCAATCCGGTATATCCTTGTGTAGGTTACTATCATGATGGCCACAGGTATATAGAAGCTAATTAGAGAAGAGGAGATGGCATACATCCTGTTTAGGCTAGAATCACAGTTGTCCGTGCTTATACCTTCTAAACTGGCATTCAGGTCCAAAAAGCTCGTGGTTGTAGCCTTGTGCCAGTTGAGCTGCACAGGGATGAAGGAAATCAACACAGACAAAGTCCACGCCACACTGATCATGATGAAGGCTGCCTTGGGGGTCATTTTCCTCTCGTACCTGAATGGGCTGGAGATGGCCCAGTATCTGTCCACACTAATGACACAGAGGTTTAAGATGGAGGCTGTTGAGCACATAATATCAAAGGCCACCCAGATGTTGCAAAATGAACCAAAAGGCCAGAAACCAGCGATCTCTGACACAGCTTTCCAAGGCATGACCAAAACCGCCACCAAGAGGTCTGACACGGCCAAGGAGATGACAAAGAAGTTGGTCACTTTGGACCTGAGGTGGCGAAACCTAATGACAGCTGCGCAGACCAGCGTGTTTCCCAGCAGCGTGGAGAGGATCAGCAACGAGAGGAAGCAGCCCGTGAGGATCCGAAAGGAAGAGTCCCTTTCCACAAGCAACCCTTCCCCATCCATAGTGGTGTCGTTCCAAGTCATAGTTTCTCCTGAGGGAAAATCACATCATGATTTTCATGACGACATCAGCTCCTTTCCTTACAGATAGCAGACACGAGATGTCCGAACAGACCAAAGGCTCTTGGTTACGGTCCCCTCAAGCCCAGATGGACTTCATCCACTCTGAATCTCCCTGAACGACATTGAAAGTTCTATGAGCAGGAACTGAAAATGCACAAATACAGTCACCTCCACAGAGGGGTTTTTAAGCAATCCCTTCAAGAACACAGTGCACCACCCCAGCATGAAGCAGCTTAATTCAGACAGCTCACCTGCAAATGTTCTGCTGCTGTCCTCTGCGAATATACCCCACAGACAGGAAAGCAATCACTTTTTCATGCTTGCATATTCCCACTTAAATAGACTATTGATCGAGTGTTTCCAGCGTCCATTGCACTAGCCCTTCATATTTACTGATGCGTGCTGTATGAGGTGCTTTTCCTCTGCTTTGGTTCCCTAAATGTCTCACTGATTAAATACCCCACCTTTCCTCCTCAGCACACTCCTTTACAAAATCCACCAGTTCTCTGCTTCTGGGCAGCATCAGCGAGCAATTCTTCACTTTGTTTCAAGTTTTACACTTCCAGAGACAAAGGAAACAAGCATACAGCAGGTGTGTTTTAAAGGTTTTCAGTAAGAAGTAGCTCAGATTATTTAGTTTTATTGAAACGAGAAATTCTGGCTCCTACCTTTCAGCTTCGTTTCTGTTTGCTCTGGGATGCAGGGCCGCCTCTTCTCCTCATTTAGGTTTGGAATTGCATAGCAAATCTTACAAACAAACCCAGCATTGTATCAGGTGCAGGCATGTGTTGTTCCCTGAAAGTGTCAATCGGCAAAGGATGAGCTGCAAAAGTTTAGTCCCCAGGAGTTAGTCCTGCAGCCAGCAGTGGAGCAGCGTTGGTGGGCAGTGTGTGACAGACCTCATCAGTGTGTGCCCAGCTACCTCCATCCCATGGACCCCATAGATTGCTTTGCAAACTTTGTTGGCTGGCTCGGTCCCGGTGGCGCTTTGTACATCCCATCAGAGGGAATCATCCCAGGCAAAAGGCACAGTATTCCCAGCACCAGCAAGAGCCAAGTCGCAGTTGTTTCTTTCTTTCTTCTGTCGTTCTCTGAAGGGTGAAAAAAGGGAGAGAGGAGGAGGAAGGACCTGAGTGAGCTCCCCTCTGCACGAAGGCGGTGGTGCCAAGAGTGCTTCCTCTTCCAGCAGGGACGAGTGGCTTTAGTGCTTCTCTGCCAGGTTATAGCTCTCCATGGCAGCACGGGATAATCTCACCTCCTCCTCAGAGGGGCTGCGCTCCGGCCGTCGGAGCAGCCGGCTCTAGCATGATTTTCCCTTTAATAACAATGCAGGCGGAGCAGCTCTTCACGCTCTCCCGGGCCACGCATCTCCGGTGCCGGGGGCTTTTCCTCCGTTCGCCCGGGAGGGCGGCCCCGGCGCCACAGACTTCCTCCTGCCGGGGGCAGGGCTCGGCAGCATCGCCCCTGAGAGAGCTCTGTCCGTCCGGCGTCTCCTTCCTAAAGGATTAAGACAAGAGGAAGACAGGGTGAAGGCACGCAGAGGGCACAGAGCAGCCCCCCTTCTCCTGCTTTCACATCGTCGCTCGGACGCAGCTTTCCTTGGGCCGCTTCTCCCCGATTTTTCCTCTTTCTCGGGGAATAAGCAGGACGCTGAGCAAAGCTGGGCTGCGGGCGTTGAGCGCACACGGGATCACTTTGCCCCGCCGAGCTGCGGGACGCTGCGCGATGCCTCGGCGCTGCGAGCCAGCCGAGCCCCATTCATTGACGAGTGAAGTAAGTACCGGCACCCAACTTATGGCTGGGCGATGCTCGCAGCGGTGCAGACGGCGGGCTGCAGCCCGAGGCTCCCCAGACGAGCACCGATAGCCCGGCGAGCACCGACAGCCCGGGGCGTACTCGGCACCCGGCAAAGCAGGGTACTCACCGGAGCGGGATGCTCGGGTCGGCCCGGGGTGACGGCGATCGGCAGCCGGGGCAGCGCTCCGCTCCGCTCCCCGTCGCCCCCCCCCCCCCCCCCCCCGCTCGGCTCCGCGCCACCTTCCCGCCGCCCCGCGCCCCCGCGGCTCCCGGCGCAGCCGCGGCCACTGGGCTCCCTCTCCTGGGCGGCCGCGGCCCCGCGCCCCCCTTCGGAGCGGAGCGCACGGCAGCCCCAGGGGCGCGGGGCAGGGATGCTCCTGTTGTCCCGCCCCGCCGCTTCCCCCGGACGGCTCGGCCGGTTCGGCGGGGAGAGGACCGGCAGGAACCTCAGGGAGCGGCTCCGAGAAACGGGTCTTTGAGATCACCGCTGAAGAGGTTCAGAGAAAATCCACGAGCAAACTTCAAACCTGGATCTCTGTAGCAGACGGAGGGCATCGCTGTCCCTACATATCGCCTCAAGGGCGGTTTCCCCAGGCCGTTCCGGTGCCTGAGGAGCCAGGTCCTGACCGATGTCCCAGAGCAGGAGTGGGGACAGCAGAGCCGCGGCTCTGGAGCTGCCGACAGCCCCGGAGCTGCACCTCCTGACGGCAGATGTCAGCTCTGGGCAGATCCCCTTCTGTCTGCGAGAGAAAACTCCTCGCAGAGGAGTTCACCTGCCCGCAAAAATGTGTCGTTTCAGCTCGTGTTTTCTTCTTTACAAAAATCACTCCGGTTCAGCAGTAAGGACTGAAAAGCAGAGCGGTTACATCTCGAGCCCTTTCGTTCTACAGAAGGGATTTTTCTGTCTTACCTGAGCCACGAGAGCCAACGAAAGCAGATGAACACAATGATTTGCAAGTTGCTACCTTTGTGTCATAACCTCACCTCAAACAAATGTATCAGAAAATGAAGATAAACATCACGGGGTGGGGGGGTTGAAACCCCCGAGAAGAACAAATAAGTTCACTAAGTTGTCAGGATGCATTTCCTGGGTTTCAGCATTACTGAAGTTGTTTATATGCCAGCTATAATTTTTCATAATGTCAGTTAGTGTGGATACAGTGCTAGACTAACCCTGACTAGCTAACTAAGATGCTTGCCTTCCCTTCCCCTCTCTTTCTCTCATTTTTAATTCCTTCTCAGCAGGTCTCATCCCTCCTTCTTATGAACCTGTTCTTTAATCATCGTTCATCCCCAGAGGAGGATGAAAAAGACAAAAAGTGAATTCTTTGTTTTTCAGTAATAGCAATGCCTAATGAAAGCCATTCTGAGCTTTCCTTTTATAATTTTGAGGGCTTTTTTTTCTCCTTTTCTCCTCAAAGCACAGCACAGGTGAGATTTACTGCATGTACTTATCTTCTGAAAATGCAGACTGCTGCTTTGGAGCAGGGACGAGGGGAACATCGCCTTCATAAGAAGACACTGAGAACATTCTCACATTATCCATTCATTTAATTCAATATTCATTCCAGCAGCCAGTCTTTCTCATATCTCATCCCTAATTTCATGTGATCATTTTGTGGATGAAATTCAGGTCTGGCTCAGCTGAGGCCATCACAGCGCAGCCCCTTAAACCGCTCTGCAGGTTACAAACCCTCCCCTTTCAAACAGGGCACCCTGCTGTGCTCATTTGCCACTTCAGCTAATTTGTGAGCTTTTAAAACTTTCATGGCTTAATAGTCATACCCCGGTGAGGCACAAAAGTGAGATCCATTAAACCCTTATTGCTGTTCAGGTAAATGTAGCGGTGGGATCAGGCAGCCAGTTGGCACAGCTCTGGGAGCCATTTCTGCAAAGGATGGGTTGGATTTGCTTTTTGCTGCTCTCCAGCTGATGTGCCCTCATACAGCACTGAAGGATCAGCTCACGTCCAGATCACAGCTTGCCCAAAGCTGCCAGCAATGGGACAGTGGTGCAGGTGTGTGAGACCCAGAAATACACAGAAAATTGGTTTAATTTTCCCTATGCCACCACATGTAACAGCTGCTTGATTTTGTTTAATGCTTTTCAACCACTGCTGAAATCAAAGCAATACCCAGGAAAGGAAATCTCGTGTGTCTCTGCTACCACCCTACAAAACATCCGTAGCTCCTCTGAGAATCTTTTTGGAGAAACGCCCACTGGGTTGGCATGAAGATTTGAAAATACACATAGAGTAGCACCTTGATCCAAATGATCTTAATCCAAACAGTAATTAGCTGCTAGAAGACTGAGCCAGAGCTGAACAAAATCCAAAGCTTGCATTCAGAGATAAGCGTGCTTTAATCTATCAAACAGCACACACACAAAAGCTGGGGAAAGGCAGCTTGATTTACAAAATAATATTACAGTCTGTGAATGCAAACTGTACTCATGTCACTCTGAGGATGACTTCTTGAGTCTGCATGCACGGGATGTATTAAACATCAAAACAGCTGAGGTGGGTTAGCAGAAATAATGTCTGAAAGAGCTGTCAAGTTTCTAAATAACTGGTTATACTAATAAACCAAGATAACTTTAGCCTCAATTTAACCTTCTCGGAAAAATCAAGAGATTCTGGAAATGGAGCAGCAGCTCTGAACTCTCTTAGGAGATCAGCGAAGCACGTGGCTGATTTGGTAATGTCATGGTTGGGCATTCCATGGGAAAAGCACAGCAGTGAGTACGAAACACAGGGGAAAGATGAGAAGCAGAAAATAGAAAAACCAACCCACACATCAGGGTCTCGAGCTCCTTCTTGTATGATGAAGACCCATCAGGAGGGAGAAAGAGTCAGTGAGAGAAGGGATTTCTTGTCCCCCAACACTGATAACAAGGCCTAAATATTCACTACTGTGTGGATTTATTTTATTTATTTATTTATTTATTTATTTTGGAATACCATAATGTGTAAAAGAAGAGGAACAATGTTCCATCTCCACGTGTCCTGAGCAGTCAGTCCAGGCTCTGTTCACACATCCCCTTCCCACGTCACCAATCCTTCCTTACATTTCTAGTGTAAAACCCAAACCAAAGCTGGCTGGTTTCAGCTGCAGCCTCTGAGATTTTACAAGCTCTTTTTGGACTGAAGAGGAAGACAGAAATGAAAGGCAAATATCCACCCTGGGGACAGGGCAGGAGCTGAACAACCCCATTCCCCACCAGCAGGATCCCTCCACAGCTGATTGCTGAGGTATGAAACAGCAACAAAAACCAGCACGTCAACCCAAAAATATGGACTGTCCCCTCTCCACTGATGTATGCTTTATTTGCACATGCACCGTTTTTTTTATAGTGTATGGCTTGCATTTTTTCTTTCACTCTGTGGACAGGCAGAAAAATTGAATATATGAATCAAAAGAGAAGTCACGGCAAAAATGACAGCGCTTTTAATGTCAAAGATGGCTTTGACATATTAATTCGTACCTCAGAAATGAAATAAAGCCAGCGCTACGGAATGATTCATTAGAATGAAATCAACCTGAGAAATAATGAATTCCGAGTGGATAAATAAAAAGAGTACAAATGGATATATTAGCAGCAAAACTCTTCACAGCTGAGTGTTACAGTGATTTTTAGCAGCAGTGGATCAAGCTACAGATAATATAATTTTCTTAGCAGATGGCTTGGTAGGTGGCACTCGACTCCTAAGCTGCAGATTTACTCCTGAGCTGCGTGCCAGCCAGCAGCACTAAATGGATCCTTCTCCCATATTCTAGCATAGCCCCTGAATGGTGGCTGGAGAAGTGCTCCTCTTCCATCAGAGGACTTTTGTTCTTTCTGATGCAGAACGTGTGATGATGAAAAGTGGTGTTGGCAATAACCTAAGCCCAGTGCCTCTAATGGTTAGCAGAGTAGGTAAGAAAAGTCAGACTATTACCCTACAGCTGATGATGTATATATAAGTGCACATTACTGCACATCCAGTACGGTCATGTTCTACAGCCCTTCTATAGGCAGGCTACAAAAATCCTTGAATTAATGAGAATTAAAGGAAATATGAAAAATAAAAAATAAGAAATGGAATGGAATGGAATGGAATGGAATGGAATGGAATGGAATGGAA